AAAACTGTTTAAAAGAGATATATAACTAGGTATTTCTGTCATAAAATAATTAGTGCAGTTCAGTTAATAGTATTCCGGCATCAATATCAGTCTCTCAAGCAGGTGTGAAGATGTTCTTGACAGCAGATTTTTCTCAACACGTCTTTTGATTTCTTGAATGTTGCTGCCATGAATTTTGATTGTAGATTCAAATATAATGAGTCATTGACAGCTTCAATCTTTTCTCCATCTATCACAATATTTTCTACTGGTCCAATAGCGAGGATTTTTGTTTTCTTGATGCTGAGATATAATCCATATACTGAAGGCTGTAGTCTTAGATTTTCAGTAAGTGCTTCAAACTCTTCTTCACTTTCTGCAAGCAAGATTGTTTCATCTACATAATGCAGCTTGTTTATGAGCTTTCCTCATTTTTGCGAAATTATGAAAGATTTGTATATCTATCTATCTATCTATCATCTATCTATCTATCTATCTATCTATCTATCTATCTATCTATCTATCTATCTCAATTGTTATGGAGGGTGCTCTGGTGTCCTAGTGGGTAAGGATTTTTTCTTCCAAATCAGAGGTACACTGTTAGAATCCACCTGCTGCTCCATGGGAGAAATATGGCCATCTGCTCCGATTCTATTTACAGCCTCTGGAAACACACTGAAGGAAAAACTTAAGCTACAATTCACTTCCAACTCTAGGGCACAAAACAAGAGAGATAGAGATAGAGATAGAGATAGAGATAGAGATAGAGATAGAGATAGAGATAGAGATAGAGATAGAGATAGAGATGGAGATGGAGATGGAGATGGAGATGGAGATGGAGATGGAGATGGAGATGGAGACGGAGATGGAGATAGAGATAGAGACAGAGCTAGAGAGATAAAGGGAGAGAGATAGAGATAGAGAGATAAAGGGGGGGGAGAGAGAGAGTGAGTTAGTGTTTTCTGGTGGCCTAGTGATAAGAAGCTGTGCTACAATCTCAATGGCATGCAGTTCAAACCTATCAGCTGCTCTGTGGGAGAAAGATGGACAATCTTCGCTTATGTGATTAATTGTATCTGAAAACCCACTTGATGGTTTATCTATTGTTGTTGTTGTTTTAAGGTGCCATCAAGTCAAACACAACTCATAGGGACCCTATGAACAAAAGATCTTAATCCTGTTGTATACTGCACCATCCTCACACTTCCTAACGCTCTCTTGTGTCAGGAAGCCCATTACAGTTACCATGTCAATCCACTTGGTTCAGAGTCTTCCTCTCCTTCACCGATCCTCTACCCTTCCCAACATCTTGTCCTTCTCCAAGGAATAGCACCTCCTAGCAATATGTCCAAAGTGTGTGAGGTGAACCTCATATTCTTGTCTCCAATGAGCTCTCTGGCTGCACCCTCTCCAACACATATCTATTTGTTCTCTTGGCCATCTATGGGATGTTCAGTGCTTTTCTCTAACACCACAGCTCAAAGGCATCAATTATTTTTCTGTCATTCTTATTCACTGTTCAGGTCTCAGATGCATAGGTAGTAATTGGAAAAATCATGGCATGAATCATACACACTTTAGTCCTCAAACTGACATCACTACTCAATAATTTGGAAAGGTCCCTAACTGCAGATTTTCCTATTGCAATGTGTATCCTTATTTCCTGACTGCTCATACCAAGGGTGTTGTGAATCCAAGCAAGATGAAGCTGTTGACAATTTCATTATCCTCTCCATTCATCATGGCAATGTCCAGTGGTAAGAATCTTTGCTTTCTTAATATTGATACACGATCCATACTGAAGGCTGCATTCCTTGATCTTCTGCAACAAGTGCTTCAAATCCTCCTCACTTTCAGCCAGCAAGATTGTGTCATCTGCATAACGCAGGTTATTAATGAGTCTCCCTCCAATCCTGATGTCATATTCTTCTTCATTAGAGTCCAGCTTCTCATGTAATTTGCTCAGCATGTAAACGGAACAGGTATGGAGGTAGAATACATCCCTAACACACTCCCTTCTCAATTTCAAACCATGCAATGCTCCCCTGCTCCTTTCACACAACAGCCTCCTGCTCCAGGTGTAAGTTCTTCAAGAGCACAATTAAGTGCTCTGGGATTCCTACTCTTCTCAATGTCAGCCACATCTTGTCATGATCCACACAGTCAAATGCTGTTGTACAGTCAATAAAGCACAAATAGACATTCTTTTGATATTCCTTACTTTCACATAGGATCCATCCTGACATCAGCAATGATATCCCTAGTGCCATCAACTCTTCTAAATGCTGCTTGAACTTCCCTGGTGCCATGAACTTTTCTAAATCCTGCTTGAACTTCTGGCAGTTTCCTATCTATGCACTCTTTTTGAATGATCTTCAGCAGTATTTTGCTTACA